GCTTTGCAGTGGCAGAAGCCGTGGCTGTTTGGTTCCTTCCTATGCCTCTAGCATCAAGCAATGTGCTTAGAATGTACTATGTGTACAGTAAGTAGTTTTCTAACAAATGAGTGAATGAATAAATAAATTAATTTCTGGATGCAAGATATTGGGAAGATAGGTGAACTCGGAATAAGGATGTTTAAATTCTTCCAGTCTTTACTGCTAAAAAGTATCTCATAGACTGTACAAAACTTCATAATAAATGCCCCTAATACTTTCCCAAAATGTTTTTCTACTATATGAATTCAATCAACATTAATTCCCTAAAATCTCATTTTCTAAGAATTTTGCAAACCCGTAACATCAAGACCTATTCATCCCTAAGAAATGCATGGTTTCTCCCACTTCTACTTCCAAATCTGTAGCTAGTTTAGTGGGTACTTGGCTAGATGTTTGAGAAAATAGGTCGTTCACAGGAAACAATAGGTATTGGCAAGGATGTGTACAAACTGGAAACCTCTTACACTGGTAGTAGGAATGCAAACTGGTGCAGCCACTCGGGTAAACAGTAGGGAAATTCCTTAAAAAGCTAAAAATAGGACTATCCTATCACCCAGCAACTGCACTACAGGTATTTATGGAAACGATACACAACTACTAATTCAAAGGGATACATGTACCCTGATGATTATAGCAGCATTATCAACAATAGCCAAATTATGGAAAGAGCCCAAATGTTCACACATATACGCGTGCGCACACACACCCCCACACGCACACACTCCTTAGTCCATGGCGACAGCCATTCTGGTTCTCCATTATAAGTTCAAATTTTTTTTATTCCACATTTAAGTGAAGCTATACAGTATTTGTTTTTCTCTGTCTGGCTTATTTCATTTAGCAATAATGTACTCCAGATCTATCTATCTATATAAAATACCATAATAATATATATATATATGCTAAGTGAAATAAGTCAGTCAGAGAAAAACAAATACCATATGATTTCACTCATGTGTGGAATTTAAGAAACAAAACAAATGAACATGGGCAGGGGGTGGAAAGAGAGGATAGCTAAGAAACAGGCTCTAAAGTATAAAGAACAAACTGATGGTTAACAAAGGAGAGGTGGGTGGGAAGATGGGTTAAATAGGTGATGGGGATTAAGGAGGGCACTTTTTGTGATGAGCATTAGGTGTGGCATGGAAGTGTTGAATCTCTAAATTCTACACCTGAAACTAATATTACATTGTATGGTCACTAACTGGAATTTAAATAAAAACTTACAAAAAAAATCTATAAGAAGTACAAGCTTATGCAAAAGAAGATGAAGGGAAGGAGGAGGAGGAAGAGGAGAAAGAAAAAAAATAAGTTGTTACACAGCTATGTATATGTGTTCTTAAAATTTTAGTCCTGTAATAAGGATTATAAGCAAGGTAACCTTTACTGATCTTTTATGAATTTTAGCAACATAATTCTTAAAACCAATTTATGAAAGATGGGACTTAATTAGCGATGTAGCATAGATTACTTAAAGTAAATATAAATCCATACTTATCAAGCCTTTTATGTGAACTGGGGCTTAAAAACACCTTCTCATGATACTTTATTCAACAAATACTTAGTGAACATTTATTACATACAAAGCATGGGAAAGAGAAACATAGTGTATCACTCATAGCATCTATCTGCTTCTAAAGGACATACGATCCCACAAAAAAAACATATTCTTACTTTATAATTTGAACATTTTTTATTTAACTGTTATGTTTCAGAAAAATTAAATAGCTTAATTTATATCAAATGTGATTAAAATCTTCACCAACTTTGATTTAAATGATAAGAGCACAGCTACTTCTTAAACTGAGTACATTGTAACATGGAAACTTTTCCACTGGCTTTCAAACCATGAATAAGTAGATGCAGGCTAAGAAATTGTGAAAGGCCCAGAAAAATTTTTTATGAATAAAAATTATGAAAAAATTTTTTCATATGAAATTTTATGAAAAAATTTTTTATGAAAAATTTTATTATGAATAAAAATCTTAAAATATTGGGTTTGAATAGGATGCTAGACCTAATGTAGTCCAGTTCTCACATTTTATAGGATGGACAAAAACACCATGGCTTATTGCTGAGGTCATTTACCAGTCTCCACTAGACCATCTGACTAGGAATAGCAGGGTTAGATATGCAAGCTTTGGCCCACACAAAAAGGTCAATAGCTAGCTATGATTTGGTGTGTCAATAGCTAGCTATGATCTTGGGAAAACTCTTTCCAGACTTTAGTTTCACATTTATAAAATAAGGATAATTTTTTTCAGTGTTATTAGGGTATAATTGACAACTAAAAATAGAATATAATCAAAATGTACAATGCGATGATTTGATGAGCAGATACTATGTGCAAAGATTCCCATATAAAGTTAATTTTATGTATATCCATCACTTCACATATTTGATTTTTTTTTGCTAGAACACTTAAGTTCTGCTCTCTCAGTAAATTTCAATCATAGAA